CCCCCTCTGTTTTTGCTCGAGGCCGCTTAGATCTGTCGCACTGTCGATTCGCTCGTCCCCCCGAGTCTCTCAGATTGACCCTTGCAAGCGCGCACCTCGCTGGCGGCCTGCCAGCTGGTCACCTTGGGCCCCCGGCCGCCCACCCTCTTCCCTCCTTGAACCTCCCCATTGTGGACCCCCCTCATAACCCCCGACCCGGCCCTGCACGCTCCTGCGCGCCGTGCAGCGCCACCCGTTTAGTGCCCTCCCCCCCTGTGCATCGATTGAAGAACTGCCGTCTCCCACCGACCCCTTGAACGCGTGCCGTGCCCGCTGGCGGCACGCTCCTCGGCACCCAAGCCCTTGTCTGTCTCCCCCCCTGCCACCCCCTGTCCCCCCGAACAGCTGTATGCACCGTCGTCTCAACACTGGAACCTTGCTCCTAACCCGTCGGCCGCGGCCAAGTGACGCCGTCGCCCCCGCACCAAAACCCTGCTCCCTGCTCCCGCTTTTATGTCTGCTTGCCCCGGCATCTGCTGCACCGCACATCCGCACATGGCCTCACCCCCTCTGTGCTGGGCATGCGCGTCCCCCCATCCGAGATGGAGAGCCAATAGAAGATCTATGCCGCACAATAAAAGCCAACCCACACACTGGCATGCAACCCGTCATGCAGCAACAATGCCCACTTGGCCCCTCGTTTTCCCTTGCGTCCTTGTCCTAATATGTAATCACACACACTGAGCATAATGGCGGGACCTCCAGGATCGGCCGGCAGGGCAAGTGGGGGGGCCAGCAGCAGCGCACGCCGGCTAGCCCCGCCGCACCTTCTGCGTGCTGCCGCCAGAGCCGCGCTGCTGGGCCCCAGCCGCCTGCTGCTCCTGGCCAGGCTGCGCCCCCTGCAGCTCCTGCATCGCCTCCTGCAGGAAGGCCTCTGCCGCGCCTGCCGCATCCTCGTCCGCGGCCTGCCGCTCCGCGCCGCCGCCCGCCGCTGCCGCCGCCTTGCGCTTCTGCCCCGCCTCCCTCAGCGCCGCCCGCTGCTCGCGGCTCAGGTCGGGCACGGCGGCGGTGATGAAGCGGTTGACGGCAGACACGTTCACCTGTGCGGGCAGGGTCGGACAGCCGGGCACGGTGGCGGCGGGATCGTCAGCACGAGACAACAATGAGTGAGAGCGAGCGCGAAGCGCAGAGGAGCAGGGCGGCGGCACTCCCCACGCCCAGCCAGCCAACTAGCCCGGCCTGCCAGCCAGCCCACCTCCAGGCTGCGCCGCGACTCGCTGAGCTCCTTCTCCGCCGCCGCCTTGCGCACCTTCTTGGTGTACTGCTTCAGCCGCTCCTGCATCCACCAGCGCGGGCGGGTGCGGGTGCATGTGCACGTGCGTGTGACCAGCAGGGAAGGCCGGCGGCGGTGCTGTGTGCGGGCAGGGGCGGGCACGAGGCGGGGCTGCAACGCTGGGCGCTGGGCGAGCCGCCCATGGCGCCATGGAGGCAGCAAACCCCACCCCTGCCAGCCAGCCCAGCCAGCCGGCCCAGCCAGCCAGGCGGGCGTGCCCACCCCACCCACCTGCTCCCTGCTCGACTCGTGGTGCGCCGGGTCGACGCCGCTGGCCCGCAGCAGGAGCTGGAGCAGGGCGTGGGCAGCATGGGCAAGCGCCAGCTGCGTCTGCGCGCGCTCCAGAGGTTCCAGCTGCAGGGCAGCAGGGGCGAGCGCGATGGTGCAGGCGCTTGTCAGCTTGCGAGGAGGCGGGGAGGTAGGCTGGCGGCAGGCGGCGGCTGGCGGCGGCGCGGCACTGGGCCCCGCACCTGCGCTATGCTAGCCTTGCTACTGGGAGCCGTGAACGGCTTCAGGCTGGCCTCCAGGTTGCCCAGCAGCTCCTGTGGGGGGGCATGCAAGACACATGCAGCGTTGGGGCAGCAACGCTGCGCCGATGGACTGCAATCAGCATTAGCGTGGCATAGCGAGCAGGATGCGGACCCACCGAGAAGCCTTCCAGCTGTTGCCGGACTTCCGAGGGGAGAGACAGGTCCATTTCGCAACGCTATGCGTCACGAACGGTGTAAATTGACCTCTCTGTAGCGCGCGGGAATTATCAGGGGGCTGTAGAAAGCGCCCTGCTAGAAGGAGCCCGCCGCCATGTCACCGCTGCCGCTGCCGCAGCGCGGCGCCGCGCCTGTGTGTGCGCTGTCGTGGCAGAGATGGGTGGCAGCCCCCCCCCCACCAGGGTGCCCCCTTGCAGCGCACCTAATCTCTGGCTGTGTAGCCCCTGCGGCGAGGCCTGGCCTGGCACGCGCCGGGCGCTGCCGTTACATCAGGCTGGCCGCTCACACCCCTCCGCTCTGCTGGGCCGGGGCTCTGCTGGCGATGCCCATCCCCTCCACCGCCGCCGCCACCGCCTGTGCCATGCTTGCACTCGTCTTGAGCGCGGAAGAGTCGACATGGCTTCGTACAGCCAGGAACCCCCTGCAGGCAGAGCGGGCGCAGCAACGGCGGTCAGTCAGCAGCAGGCAAACGAAAGAGGGCACCAGGCAAGCGAGTGCGCCGCCGTCGGTCACACCGAGCGCCAAACCATCCACAGCTGCAGCTCTCACCTGCGCCGCAGCTCTG